AAAAAACTGTAATGTAGCAATGAACTGTACTGTAGCAATAAACTGTACTGTAGCAATAAACTGTACTGTAGCAATAAACTGTACTGAAGCAATGAACTGTACCGTAGCAATGAACTGTACTGTAGCAATGAACTATACTGTAGCAATGAACTGTATTGTTGCAATGAACTGTATTGTTGCAATGAACTGTACTGTTGCAATGAACTGTACTGTAGCAGTGAACTGTACTGTAGCAATGAACTGTACTGTTGCAATGAACTGTACTGTTGCAATGAACTGTACTATAGCAATGAACTGTACTGTAGCAATAAACTGTACTGTAGCAATAAACTGTACTGTAGCAATAAACTGTACTGCAGCAATAAACTGTAATGTAGCAATGAACTGTACTGTAGCAATAAACTGTAATGTAGCAATGAACTGTACTGTAGCAATAAACTGTACTGTAGCAATAAACTGTACTGTAGCAATAAACTGTACTGAAGCAATGAACTGTACTGTAGCAATGAACTGTACTGTAGCAATGAACTGTACTGTAGCAATAAACTGTACTGTAGCAATAAACTGTACTGTAGCAATAAACTGTACTGAAGCAATGAACTGTACTGTAGCAATGAACTGTACTGTAGCAATGAACTATACTGTAGCAATGAACTGTATTGTTGCAATGAACTGTACTGTTGCAATGAACTGTACTGTAGCAGTGAACTGTACTGTAGCAATGAACTGTACTGTTGCAATGAACTGTACTGTTGCAATGTACTGTACTGTAGCAATGAACTGTATTGTTGCAATGAACTGTACTGTTGCAATGAACTGTATTGTTGCAATGAACTGTACTGTTGCAATGAACTGTACTGTTGCAATGAACTGTACTGTTGCAATGAACTGTATTGTTGCAATGAACTGCACTGTTGCAATGAATTGTACTGTTGCAATGAACTGTAGTTTTGCCTAGCACGTAGAATTGCCTTTTAAAATCATAGCAGTTTAATGTTTTAGTTGGCTCTGCAAAGTTCTGAAATAAACACGCAACAAATTTTCTAATGACCTCCTCGTTGTCTTTCTTCCTATCTGAGACCTCGATTGTAGATCTAAGCTTAGCTTGGTGGTGCTTCACGTTTACTTCCCATCAGTGATCTATGGTCTAGGTTAGTGATTTCATTTCACAATCCACACCTTAAAGTAACAGGCTTCATTCCTACGTGTGAAACAGGGAGAAGCAGGGAGAGACAGAGATATACAGAGGCGCACACACACACACACACACACACACACACACACACAGCGAGAAGCTGGGAGAGACAGAGAAAGATATAGAGCACACACAAACGTGCGCGCACACACACACACACGCAAACGTGCGCACACGCAGCGAAAAACAGGAAGAGACATAGAAATATATAAAGCAAACACAAACACACTCACACACACACACACACACACAGCGAAAAGCAAAGAGAGACAGAGAAATATTTATGTATATATACAGACAAACTCACACACACAGGGATAGACACACAGACACACATATGTAAAGAAAGAGATAGACAGAGAGAGAGAATACATGGGAATAATTATAACACAAAACGTTGATGAAAGTATGCTCTGATCAAACAACTCTGAGAATCCCCGATGAACTAACTAGGCGCCCTAAACACTACTGCTCCATTTATCAGAACTAGATAAAGACAGGGCTTGGTAGAAGCCTATTATCCCATCACGAATGGTTCCCTCGATTAGGGCCTTGGGAAATTCTCAAATTGAAAGTTTAAATGGTGCTAGATTAATGCCCCGCTGGTCGAATCTTCCCCGGGCACGCGCTTTGATGAGATGGTCTGCCCTGAAAGGGAACCCTCATTTATCAGATGTCGAACAGAGGCCGACTTCAAGAACTTGGTGATTTTACAGTCAGTGGTAATCATTTTGAGTAATTTTGTCGAGTCAGTCTTCGTACCTAATTATCTCAATTCAGATTACTTAAGTAAGAGTTGTATTGATCTGTCCAGTCACGTCCGGAGGGAGTCGCCGTGGTGTAGCTGTTAGGTCATCGCCTGCGGATCCGAAGGTTCTGGGTTCTTTTTTTTAAAAAATAACCACAACTTCCAGACCGATTCAGTCTTAATCTGGGGTCACCGAATCTGGTACTAGCTTCCGAAAAGCCCGAGAACGCCCCACCCCCTGCCCCCGAGGATCGGGAAACTGTTTAACGCATTTACTTACCTCTATGTGACATCTTCAGCTTGGAAGAAAACTCCACTTGCTCGCCTTGAGCATAATAATTGTTATGAGGGCAGCGGCTCTATTGGTTTTCTCTTGTCCCAGAATGGGGCCCTGGAATCCAGACGGGTGCGGAAGTGGGTTACACCCATGATATCGAGAGGATTTCACGGGATATGGAGGACTAGATGGCCAGCCCTGTGGGACTTATAGCGGCACAGTAGGTTGATGATGTTGATGTATCTGATGATAATGGGGATTATGATGAGGAGAAAGAGGAGGAGATTCTTCATTTGGTGCGCTAGCCAGTTATCGTTCCTGCAACGATTTTACAACTAAGTTTTTATTTGACTATCTGGTCGACGATACATAACCGTCTAGTCCCGGAAGTTCACAGTAGTCACATGACTTAGCTGGGTGACTTCAAATTTACTATAAATTACGTTTTACAAAGGAATTGGTTGCTGATTTTAATTGTTACAGCTTCGGCCATTCCCAGCAGTCGCCTGTTCGGTGTTTGGTAAACCACTCGGAAAGTATTGTCCTTGTCAATTACGTGTCCAGTCATTCATTGTTGAATAATTACTAGCGACGTGTTTATCATGTAACCTGTCATTTTCCGTGAGTGTTTATATTCCCTTCTTATTATAACAACTTAAATATGACTTACAAGTCAAGATAAAGTTAGATTAAATACAACTGTAAGTTTTAGATATACTTAAAACAGAAGATCAGAACGAACAACCGAACAAACTTAAATATCAAAGTGTTAGGAATTGGACATGCAGACATTATGCCCCTGCAAGCTGGGAAAGAAATCAGAAAAGGCAGAAGAAGACGAAAATGCATATTTGTGAAAACATGTGAGTAATTGATGAAGATATATTTGCATAATTATTTCCACAACACGAATAAAGCCAGAAATATCTCCCCCAAACATATACACACTCCCCAATTTTATTACAAATGAGGCCCATACGACAATGATTACTCGCCCCTCCACCGCATCAGAAATCGGCGCGTGCCAAATGGCAGCTCTATGGAATGACATCAAATTGGGCTCTTTGATCCGTCGTTCGTCAGCCGACTACCCGACGCTCAGCACCACCTATACCGCTGGACAAGAATTGAATACATGCATCGCACACAGGCCCATCTCTGGGTGTGGATAACACAAATTTACGATAGGTTTAAGATTGGATCAGGTGAAGACATGGCCAACAGAATAAGTAGGACCATTTTACCAGGAAACATTTTGTCAATCATCAGATTTTCTGTAATTGGATATTTCTGTATCGAAAGGTAGGATATGTTTCCTAAGTCAAGTTTATGAGAGAGGTTCAGTTCTCTAGTGTTTTCTAAAAGTAAATATTTGTTGCCCAAGTGTTTATGTAATTCGAGCTCGCCAATAATAAAAGACCGAAGTTAGATGAGTATTGTTGAAGAATGTGTGTGTGTGTGTGTGTGTTTGTGTTTTTAACCTTATTTAAATTTAATCCCCATTTAATCCATAAATCTATTCGCCAGCCCTGTCAAGAATGTGAGCATTTACGCGTCCACACACTCACTTATCTATTTGTCAACATCTACCTATTTATCTCCTTCTTTTCTTCTTCTTTCTTCTTCTTCTTCTTCTTCTTCTTCTTCTTCTTCTTCTTCTTCTTCTTCTTTCTTCTTCTTCTTCTTGTTCTTTTTCTTCTTCTTCTCCTTCTTCTTCTTCTTCTTCTTCTTCTTCTTCTTCTTCTTCTTCTTCTTCTTCTTCTTCTTCTTCTTCGCCTCCTCCTCCTTCTTCTGCTTCTTCTTTTTCTTCATCTCTTCTCTTCTTCTTCTTCTTCTTCTTCTTCTTCTTCTTCTTCTTCTTCTTCTTCTTCTTCTTCTTCTCCTCCTCCTCCTCTTCTTCTTCTTCTTCTTTTTCTTCTTCTTTTTTTTTTCTTCTTCTCCTCCTCTTCTTCTTTTTCTCTTCTCCTTCTATCTTCTTCCCTCTCCTTCTCCTCCTTCTTCTTCTTCTTTCCTCTTCTTCTTCTTAAAGCGTTTTTCTCTTCTTCTTCTTCTACAGCTTCTTCTTGTACCTTCTAAAACATTACTTCTTCTCCTTCAATCTTCTTCTTCTTTCTTCTTTTCTCAAAATCTGCTTTTTGGCGCTAGGCTTCCTCCTCCTTTTTCTCCTCGGCAACCGAGCCTTCCTCCTCCTCCTCCTTTTTCTGCCGTGATCTTAAAAAGTCTCAAGTTGTCACGTTAATACAGCAGCAAACTGTACCTGTAAACATTACTGAAATCTCCATAATCTGGATTAGTTCCGCCTATTAGCGCACTAGTTCACTATTTATTCATACTTTGTTATGCTCGTCAACTTTGCTGAAGGTTACGGGGGTGTCCTGGTGTCTATTTGCTCGAAAAAGCTTTCTACGTTGTCTTCCATTTACGTTTTCATTCAGAGAAAGAGAATGAGTGTGAAATAGGTTGCAACATTCTCGTAGGGGGTTTGTGTTAGGGCCAGTCCTGCACGTTTTTAGAGAGTTAAAAGCGCTGATGTGCAGAAATGTACAACACGCGATATCAACGGACAGACTGACAGATAGATGGAGAAACAGTTTTTTTCTGTTCACAGTTGAAGCAGCATATCTCTGATGTAACAGGAGCAAAAACACTGAGCACACAAAATGGCGTCGAACAGCATTCGACAATATCAAGGACTGGCAGCCATTTTACTGGTCCTGGGCTGTTTGTTTGGAGAGGTCATGACCCGCTTCCCAAGACCTTCACCTAGCGCTGACTACAACATGACCAGGTGAGTGCTCGCGGAGTTATCCAAGTCTGTATAATTGATGTTTGTTAAGCCGTCGATGCATAGACAAACATGGAAGTCATCTTAACGCTGTCACTTACTGCTGTTTAACTGATGAGATTGATCACCAAATCATATGCGATCATCTTCATAATCAGAAGTCGGTCTTCCTGTATCCGTTGTCTGAATTTGGCAATGCACTTATCCTTGTGAGTGAAAATTGGACCTCTCAGCCCAGCGTCATCTTTCATATCAGTTTTAAATCGTTAATATTACCTCATGCACCAGATGAAGATTGATTCCCAATAAACTTACATCATTAATTCGATTGGCTCAGTAGAAACAGGTCTAAAGTTTACCCTGACCTCATGCTGCATACGTAACGAGGCAACTCTCAATAGCTAAACAAAATGGCGTGCTACTTGCCGTCTGCAGACCTGATTTCTAATCACAGTTGGCTGTGAGTACAGGGACTGGCCAGGGCGCGCTGCAGAATCAGAAGTTCGACAAATGATTTATGACAGTTCTCACCCAGATAATGAGATTATAAATCTATACGGACAGCTTTGTGTTCAAAGACAGACGAAGTGCATGCGGGTTTATAAGCTAAGGGAATGGACAACGCTTCGTCCGACAACCTTGGGGTACACTACAAGTTTACAGAAAGACCAAACATATTCAATAACAATACTGGGTTCAAGATTACCAAAAGTAATCAGATTTGTAAAGAAACGGTAAAACAACTTTACTTCTATCTACGTCATTGTTATTTCTAATGAAAGAAGTAATTTACAAAGTAATCTCTACTTGCGCACGTATAATCCTTCTTGATTTTTCTACTTTTGTAATCCAATGAAGCCCTTAGATGTAATTTATTTCGAGTGTATATTTAGCTCACCATACTTGTTAGTGAACCTAGAATCCATTCGCTTTCGGTTGGTAATGATTGTGGTGTTAATGCTGATTCACCAAACTTATCTAGATAACATATACACTTGTTACATTTATATTACACATGTAGGAATGACAGCTAAATCCGAGAATACGTTTGTAAAATAATACTCCAATTAGAAAGGTAACAGTGATATAGACACAGGCCACTCACTCAAAAAAAAACATCAAGACTAAAGTGGCCGTCTGGGTCAGACAAAGACCAGGCCTTGACATGAGTAGGTCTCAGCTTTATTGCCTGTTTGTAAATAACGTGCTGGAGACTGCCAGTTTGTATTTATGATCAAATCATTTAAAATAAGCAGTTTTTGAACACACTGCAATCGAAACGGCTGAAGTTTTTTTCTTCTTCTCGACTTTCTCCATGACGCTCAGTAAAGTGGAGGGAAAAAAGGGGGGGGGGGGCAGTAGGGGAGAGACAGGAGTCTGTTGTGTGCCCTGTCTAATCATGGAGGTCACCTTTGCTAGCCCCGTGCCCTGCAGTGTAGTACGCTCCGGTTGAATGAAAACAGCACCGGGACATATTAAGAGTTGCTGTAACTCGCTGGCAATTATCTGCAGACCCTTTGTCATCGCCTTAAATTTCTAGGCGATTTGAAACAAATATTTCACAGGAGCTCCCATGTGGTCACAGCCTAAATCAGGGACGAGAGACGCCTATTTGATACACACCAGCCACTGAGTAGCCGCTGCTCAATCAACTGTGGAAAGAATTGGTCTAAACTTTCAAACTCGGTATAAATAAAGGCGTTAAAATGTGATGACTGAGTTTTAAAAATGAAATATTTCATGATTGTTCAAACTGAAACGTATCCATTAGCAATACGCCAAAGACTGAGGAAGGAATAAAAACATGTCAATTACAGGGAGAAAAACAGTGTTATAGTGTTGTGTAGAACCTGCCTTGTTATTTGCATGTGAGGCGTGGACAAGACAAAGTGAACAATAAAATAAAAACTTGTAGCGGAGAAATGGCTTTTGAGGAGAATAAAGAATGTCATGGGATGGTGTTTTTTTTTTTTTTTTTCACGAAGCAGTCCTCCTTGAGACAGATGAATGACATAAAATGATTAGGACAAAAAAGACTAGAAAAAAAGCCGTGTTTTTGGACATGCTAAAAATAAAAGCACTCCAGAACTTAGTTACTACTGAAAAGACTGGTTGGAGGGAAGTAAGAGCAAAGTACAAACATAAATGTTTGGATTGTGTGGCCGTGGAGCTAGACCACTGACCTGAGCCGTGATTCTGGTGATCGTGTGAGACAGTGAGACATGACCGACCACACTTGCAGACAAGGCAAATGGTGGTGAAGAGGTAATTGAATGAGACGACTCAACAAATATTTCGTGATCTAGTTTGACCATTCGGTTGAGTTAGCCCTCCCCCCTTCCCCCGGCTATCGTGGATCTTTCTCAAACGGCGATATATAGCCTGTCACATGGGCTGCTTAAAACAGGTAGAAATAGAAAACATCTGGAGGGAGGACTTCAAACAGTGAGACGAACTCCAGATGTCATTTCACAGACGAGAGGTAAATTGTCTTCAGATCTCTGGGTCTATTTCCAGGTATTGATGTTCTTCTGTGCCTTCGATGGCATCCTGCACGTTCCGTTCGGTCTGGCGTGTTTCTTTTTTTTTTTTTTAGGTTGTGGAACTGAATTTAATGCATAATTTATCTGTTTAAGGACACAAAGTCATCGATTTGGCATACATACCCCAGTCTCAATTAAAACACTTCGCCGAGTGTATATAAATCAGACCGTAAATGTAACAGAGTACTGCTGACAGCTTCACAGCTTCTTCTTCTTCTTCTTCTTCTTCTTCTTCTTCTTCTTCTTCTTCTTCTTCTTCTTCTTCTTCTTTTTCTTTTTCTTCTTCTTCTTCTTCTTCTTCTTCTTCTTCTTCTTCTTCTTCTTCTTCTTCTTCTTCTTCTTCTTCTTCTTCTTCTTCTTCTTCTTTCTTCTTCTTCTTCTTCTTCTTCTACTGCAAGTGTGCCTCTTTTTATGTTTAAACAATAAGCCTGTGTATAAGACTTGTTAATTATTGCATAAGTTTGCAGCTAAGATTTTCTGCAGCGTGCGGTTACTAGCCTGAACCAATTTAGTGGCATTTTACGACATGTATGATGGGTTACAGTATTATTATTCTCTGCCTTCCTTGTTGAGCTCGGAGTCACACCGCCAACAGTCAGACAAAAGAAGATACACAGATCATAAATGTAAATCAGTCCCTTCTTTCATTTTCAACTTATAAAGATTATGCTTTTTTTTTAACTCCAACATTCTAACAACATGAAATGCCTTACAAGAAATGCCTTAGTAGAGCTGCAAGAGTTTCAAGGAAAGGCAGAAAACAAAATCACGAAATCAGACGAATGCTAGGAATAAAGCCAGTCTTACAGGTCATCAAAGAACAACAAATGAAGTGGTTTGGACACCTAACAAGAATGCTCTGGTACTATCTGCCACAGCGAGGCACACTAAAACGTTACAACGGGTATAGAGCGAGTGGAAGACCTCGGAAAATATGGAGTGATGGCATTAGGAACAGCCTTACAGAAATGAACATCAGTCTCAATAGTGCTCTTGACAGTTCATAAACGAATGTTAGATCCCCCCTCCCCCCGAGACTTCCCTGGGATACAAGGTGGAAGAGGAGGAGAAGGAGGAGGAGAAGAAGAAGAAGAAGAAGAAGAAGAAGAAGAAGAAGAAGAAGAAGAAGAAGAAGAAGAAGAAGAAGAAGAAGAAGAAGAAGAAGAAGAAGAAGAAGAAGAAAAGAAAAAGAAGAAGAAGAAGAAGAAGAAGAAGAAGAAGAAGAAGAAGAAGAAGAAGAAGAAGAAGAAGAAGAAGAAGAAGAAGAAGTAGAAAGGAAGGAAGAAGAAGAAAAACTTTCTAACAACAAACAGGATGACAAATGTCCCTACAAACCATCTGTCGTGGAAGTGTCAGCGGATTTTGTAATTTATCGAGCAGACGCCAATATTTAAGACAGTTTCTGTGGCTGGTTATCAGTGTCAGTAAAACATTGTGCCGTGTTTCAATTCGATCTTGTTCCCTCGACAATTTCTGGTTACATTTTTAGGGATACCCATTGATGGAGACTGTGCCGGGTTATTCATTTTAAGATCAGTTAATTTAGCTGTCCGTCTGCCTGCCTGTTTCTACGCAGTTGCCCAATACCTCGCTACATACTTATCATTTCTCCGCGTGTGTTCTAGGGCGCAATGGGGGGTTAGGTGGGGGAGGGGGGGGGGTGAGTAGACGTATCCAATCCTAACAGAATTTCGTAAAAGTCGACTAATTAATGGCGTTTCCTTCGAATCGAAGTGCATCTGCCTGAGAGACGAGAAACCAACAGCCTGCATACAGAGATGCTAGGTCTCTGGAATAAGACTAATCCAGAAGTGGACGAACAACCAGAACTCTCCGCCGGAGTTTACAGCCAGTGAACTCTAAGAAGAGGAAGACGAATCTTCATCCCTTAAACTGTATCATCATCATTATCATCATCATCATTATCATCATCATTATCATCATAGTTATCATCATAATTAATATCATCGTCATTTTCATGATCATTATCATCATCATCATCATCATTATCATCACAGTTATCATAATTATCATAATTATCAACATCATCATTATCACCATCATTATCACCATCATTATCACCATCATTATCACCATCATTATCACCCTCATTCTCATCATCATCATCATCATCATGTGCTATTGTTAGATGCCTTAAGCGTTCATATTTACTCACAAATCTTGATAACCTGTCTTCATGATCATTATGTTCACAATATTCAGCCATGCCCCATTTTAGATCCCTCAGTGTGTCATCTCACTCATTCAGTCTCTGTCTGGCTACTCTCGAATCCTATATGAGTGTGCATGTATGAGAATTTAAGAGAATGTTTACGTGAGTGTGTGTGTTTGAGTGTGTAAGATTGTGTACACATGATGTGTGTATGCATTATTCCATAATCTATATTTCTTTATTACATCCATAATACGCATTATTGATAACAGGCATTGGTACTCTGAAAAATGAGTGCTTAGAAGGGCCAAATGTCAGACGGGCCTGTGTGCCCAATTTGTAACCCTTTGAAAATAAAGTTCGTTCGTTTGTTTGTTCTTTCCGACCCTCACAACGCTTTTGCCTTTACTTGCTATGATATCTCATATCTCATGTAACAATAGGTCGATCTTAGAGGTAAACTTTACAAAATCCGCTTGTCAGGGCAGGCAAGCGACTAGCAACTGAGCCACCGCTGCACTCGTCAACCGAGCAACGCAGTCGAGAAATGAACCCACGACCTTCATGGGGCGAGGCAGACGGCTTGACGACCTCGTCACGAAGACCCCAACATGAAATAGTATGAAACGTAACAAAAAATTGTAAGGAGAATTCCTAATAATTGTTTAACAGCGTTTTTTAGCCCACTTTCATCCTCGTGGAATGGGCTGGGGGTTGGGGGTGGTTGACCCCCAATTTTGAGTGGGGTCTCAAATGGCCACCCTCTCCCATTTCTTTAAGATGGTGAGCTTAGCACTCTCTGTTTTTTCTTTGTATCGTAACGCCTGTACTCAAATTTATTTCCATTTGAAAAAAAAAGAGCGGACAATGACGTGTTGCATAGAGGGCATTTTATTCATTATGCATAACTAGTACAGCGGCCCAATGACAAAAGCTGATCTCCGCTACGGTAATACTTCACTGCACACGTCAAACGTGAGATCCACGTCCTGATATTCATCAGATCCAAAGATCTACATCTTCCCAGGAACTCCCCACTTGTGAGAGATTATGTTCTGCAGCCTCTTTGTGTCCAAGTTTGTCTAGTCTTGTGTTCTCATGGGACCAAGAAATGAATGAATAAAATATGAATGATTTAAGCGGTAATACGCCGAACGCTGTACCGGACAGTCTACAGACAGGAGGCTATTACTGGTCAACCAGTGGACAACGGGCATCTGAGATGAGTTAATCTTAGTCTATGGTTAAATTCTATTGTCTTGTACTCCTTATGATATTGATGTAAAATTCAAGAGGTGTTTTATTTCCAGCGCAAAGAGTCGATGTTTACAGTAAATGTTTATTGTTGTCTATTCTTCTTCTTCTTCTTCTTTGCGTTCACCAGCTGTAGACTCTGATGGAACGTTCTGGTTGTTCGTCTACTTCTGGACTGCAGTCCTTTTTTCAGAACCTGAATGTTGCGTGTGCTTCTGTTTGACAGATCTGGCACATTTATGTGCAGACTGTTGGTTCCTTTCCTCCCAGGCAGATGCACTCCGACTTCGAAGGAAATACTGCATTGTGATTTCAATGTTAATTTCAGTTTTCGGAGAGTAACAAGTTGATTTTTTTAAAATCTCACTTCTAATGACATCTACATCAAAGTCGTCAATCTTCCTTCCTTTGCTAGACATGAGCGTACTTTGTGTCCTGCCTAATCCAGCGGTTAAATGATGCTCTATCCAGACCAAGCGCCAATCGTGTTCGTTTCTCTGGGGCATGAATATCACAATATAAATGACCCATCTTAGATTCCCTGAGAAAGTGCTGGTACACTAAAACGGTAACCTGCATACTTAAAAATTTGCATCTCAAATTCATGTTGAACTTGATGTCTATGTCAGGTTTTCTAAGCTAGCTTTATGATACAATAACTCAACACTCATTTGTGAATGCGCCTATTATTAAACAACATTGACGGACGTCTTATTTTGGCTTAAGATCATTAACAGAGCAACTTTGCGCCAGAAAACCATAAAATCGCCTAGGTTTTCTTTGACTCCTTGTTAAACCAGTCATAATGTGCATTACTTCCTGAAACTAATAAACGTAAACTCTCCAAAAGTCTACCGTGACAGTTTCACGATACAAATAAATATCGTAAATAAGAAGAAAAAAAAAAATACGTATATTCTTCTTTAGTGAAAAAAAAAAAAACTATATTTTCTAAACGTCATGGGTGCATGCAAAAAATCATTGCGATCTCACAGGCGGTGCTCGAGAAAATGCCGTGCATGAGTGTTTATTTATTGTTAAACAAACTACAATCCTTTTGCTCTGCGGGTTCCATTGTAAGCATATTCTAGTTATATTGTTATCATTGAGTTTCCTAAGGATGTATCCTTTTTCAGAACCATCGTCTCTGCATCATCCAAAAATGCTCCGCGGCTGGTTTACCTGTCTGCACAATCTCCACCTGTCTGATTCTATCATATCATTTTAGTGCTTTTCCTGGCAACATTTTTTTTTTTACTTCTAAACAGCAATTGTTAAAGTCGTTCTTCATTCAACTTATCTACACCAATGTAAAGCTTTGGCATCAGGGTTAAATAGTCTAAGTCTTATCTTGAGGTTTTTTTTTTTTTTTTTTCAATGTCTATAACTTTCCAAGTGCCACGACGGCTTCTGTTTTCTAGGCAGCCAATAAATGGGGGCCGTCTCCACAATTAAGGTTGGCTGCAAGGGATCTTCAGCACACTCTTGTATAAATATATCATGCGTTATCGATGATGCTATTGTGGTCTGAAAGATGAGCGCTCGGAAGGACTGAATCTAAGACCGGCCTGCGTGCCCAATTTATAACCCTCTGACAATAAAGTTCGTTAGTTCGTTCCTTCGTTCTCTCTACATTCTGGATGTACATTCTTTCATACTGCTGTTTGTCCATCTCTTGATATTATCCTCCCTCTTGTACCACTGTTGACTTATTGCTAGCTTACCTGAGAAGTTCTTTCCAGCATGATTTGAGTGTTATGTCGTTTAAGAAGGCTGAAACGATTTACTTGTATCGTTTGTATTTCCTCCAGCAGCTATCTTTTACTTCCCAATCTCTTCAGAACTTCAGTATTTTACTGTTCTTTAACGTCCATGAAATACGACCTATTCTTTTATATCTGCACTTCACCAGCCACTCGGTTTGACTTCTAATTTCGTGTTTATTATCCATATTTGTGCCCCATAACAGTAGAGCTGAGTATACATAACAGTAGAGTGAAGTATACATAAGACTTGAGTATATATCTCGACGTCAGTTTTTACGCAGAGATAATAATTCCCAGCTGGTGTGTTGCCTATCTGTTTCAGACAAGAAGTTCTTGAGATTCTGATTACCAACTCAACCTACAACCCGCGGATCTCACCAGACTACGAGCTGGGTAAGTGACTGTGAGAGAGGCTGCTTTCAACGAATGGCTTCTTATCAAGAGAGTAGGAGACTGTGAGAATGTATCCCTTCCGTTTCCCCCCCCCCTTTTCCACCCCCCCCCCCCCCCCCCCCCCCCCCAAAAAAAAGAAATCGTCCCTCTGACAAAGATAATATTTTGAGGGAGACCAAGAAGGAAATGATGGAATTGGAAGAACAGAATAAACTTATCTTGTCAATATCCTGAGAATGGAAGCAGGGGAGTGTAATGTTTACAGTAATGAATGAATAGAAAGAAAGAGGTGGAGAAATGTTGAGATGAAAATATTTTGCACTTTCCTTATAGCAATACCGGAAAAACAGTAGCACTAGAAAAGGAGGAAAGTGAACAAAATATGGTGACCTACTTCAGTTGTCAAATCAGGTGAAGAAGTCAATACTCTGCTGGTCTTAAGATTTAACTCTTGTTACTGGACAGGCAGTTTACGATCTGTCGGGGCATCACGTGACCTGATTAAAACCGTTTTCGCACGATGTCATTTATCATTGTCAGAGCAACAGGCCAGGTTTTAAAACACAATCATCAGACTCAACCGATCCAAAGCAAACCATGTGTTCCTTTTTTAAACAAATGTTTTCATGTAACGTTTCTGTGTGTGAAATTAGTCGTTTAGAGCGTTGCAGAATATGGACTGTCTTAGGCCTGAGAATTTAGGTCCGCACATCCAATGCTGCGGCAAGGACTGTGAAGGATTGTATTTCAATTTATATCTCAGAGAGAAAAAGGAGATAGCATCAGCTGACGGGATGTGAAATCTAGATCCTCTAAATGAGAGCCAAGAAAATGAACCATTTCACCAGCTGCTACTGAACACATGATATGGAATTAGTTACTAGTTAGTTGCGTAATCGTGTTTTTCTCCCAGTGATGACAGACATTTCTAGTGTTATCGTCATCATCATCATTATCCTCTACATTATCATAATCATTATCATCTACATCATCATCGCCATCCCACTGCGTCCTTTATACAGAGGGGTGACATTCTACTCCTCCGTGTGGCTCTATCCTGTGGTCGTACTTTGTTTTGTATCACTTGTTCATTCGCTACTGTCAGTCAATCCACAAAAGAAGGACAGTGCAGCTATAAGAATGCAATCACATATGACATAATAGACGATTAGAAAGCTTTCGTCAGCACACAGAAACAAATTGCCAATGACAGAGATACATTTTCAAACTACACAAAAAAGTTATTAAATGTATCACTTAGCTTTAAAAAGTGACTCCTGGAGACTTGAAAACCCTGGATCACAATATTAAACTGTTTTATCGTAATTTTTACTTGTTGGTGGCACCATTATCCGTTAGTTTTTCTACACTTGCGTGATATAATCAATGTGGCCAGGTGCTCTCTCCACAGTGAATAAATATATGACAAACAAGCTGGCTATCTTTAACATCTTTTGTACTGCCCCATATCCATAGAGGCATCGATCTGTAAATGTAGAGCAATCTGGCATCCACCACTGACCTCACAAAACAGAGGTCATCATCTTATGTTTCCTGCCCACACAGGATCATGTGTATAGATACAGTTGCAATAACTAGTTAGTTATGCAGGATTATGCGTCTGTCCCCTGTCACTTCTCTTGTATGTTGTGCCAGACTGGTTGCTGGCTCAATTTTTTCTTCTTCTTCTGGCATCCATATCTCTTCCTTCCAATATCCACGTCTCCTTCCTCCAGAATCCATATCTCTTTCCTTCACTATCTATATCTCCTTCCTTCACTATCCATATCTCCTTTTCCTAATATCCATATCTCCTTCCTTCACTATCGATATCTCCTTTTCCTAATATCCATATCTCCTTCCTCCAATATCCATGTCTCACACTTCTTTAGCCTCATTTCTGCTTATATTCACATTCATTAAACAGTCGCTTCAAGATGTCTATGCTATTTCAGATCATGCAACAACGGTCTATGTCCAGATATATGTGCTCAGCATTGACACCGTCAACGAGCAGTCAATGGTAAGTAGTTATATCGTTCTCTCATAGACACTGTCAAGATCAGTCAATGGTAAGTAGTTATATCGTTCTCTCATAGACACTGTCAAGATCAGTCAATGGTAAGTAGTTATATCGTTCTCTCATAGACACTAAAAACGAGCAGTCATCGGTAAGTAGTTATATCGTTCTCTCATGGACACTAAAAACGAGCTGTCAATGGTAAGTAGTTATATCGTTCTCTCATGGACACTAAAAACGAGCTGTCAATGGTAAGTAGTTATATCGTTCTCTCATGGACACTAAAAACGAGCTGTCAATGGTAAGTAGTTATATCGTTCTCTCATGGACACTGAAAACGAGCTGTCAACGGTAAGTAGTTATATCGTTCTCTCATAGACACTGACCAATAAATCGTTTATGTTCATTTAGTCTATACAAAGCACAGTTGCTTATCCTTTACTGGACATTGCAGAACCAACCCCAGCACTTTTCGGTTGTTGTGGTTTTTCTAGGCAAAGTTACGTCCAGTAGTTTGCCATTGCACCTGGACGGTCGGCTCTCGGTACCACGGTCGAAACCATCGCAAGACAAACCGTCCGCAGCAGAAATCGAACCGGGCACCACGGCATTACGAAGCGCGCTCGCAACGCCTAAGCCACAGACGCGGACACAGAGAGCACATCAAAACAAAATGTTGTCAGGACCTACAAGCCGCCTACTTTATGTTTTGCAAATTCAAATTACGGTCATCATTTTCCTCAGCCCATCGCCTAGAAAGTGCAAATCCGCAACCGTCAAGTTTCAAGACGGCCGGTACCGTTTGAAACCAGTATTACAGCTAAACAATTTACACAGATAGGTCAGAAATTCGGAAATAATGAAATGAAACAAGAAAAGAGGACATAGATAATTAACTGAAGAGACAGAGACAGAGAAAAAGAGAGAGAGAGAGAGAGAGAGAGAGAGAGAGAGAGAGACAGAGAGTGGGGGCAGACAGACAGAAACAGAGAGAGAGAGAGAGAAAAGATGGGGAGAGAGAAGGGCAGATGGAGAGAGAGAGAGAGAGAGAGAGAGAGAGAGACAGAGAGAGAGACAAGAGAATAATCTAGTGCGTCACATCTTTGAATCTTGGGCGTCCGCTTCAATCTAAGAGCTTAGTAAATTATAATCTCAGTATCTGATAGAGGATTTGAACAGCGCAAATGTTTGGTAGTGACATCATGGTGACCTCTAATGTCTAGTCAGTGACACGGTGACCTCTAATGTCTAGTCAGTGACATCACGGTAGCCTCTAATGTCTAGTCAGTGACATCACTGTGACCTCTAATGTTTTGTCAGTGACATCATGGTGGCCTCTAATGTCTAGTCAGTGACATCATGGTGGCCTCTAATGTCTAGTCAGTGACATCACGGTGACCTCTAATGTCTAGTCAGTGACATCACGGTGACCTCTAATGTTAAGGTAGTGACATCACGGTGGCCTCTAATGTCTAGTCAGTGACATCATGGTGACCTCTAATGTCTAGTCAGTGACATCACGGTGACCTCTAATGTTAAGGTAGTGACATCACGGTGGCCTCTAATGTCTAGTCAGTGACATCATGGTGACCTCTAATGTCTAGTCAGTGACATCACGGTGACCTCTAATATTAAGGTAGTGACATCACGGTGGCCTCTAATGTCTAGTCAGTGACATCATGGTGACCTCTAATGTCTAGTCAGTGACATCATGGTGACCTCTAATGTTAAGGCAGTGACATTATGGTGGCCTCTTATGTCTAGTCAGTGACATCATGGTGACCTCTAATGTCTAGTCAGTGACATCACGGTGACCTCTAATGTTTTGTCAGTGACATCACCATTTTTCCTTGAACAAATGACTTATCCTCAGCATGGGTAAACTATTTTGCATTTCTCGTTGAAGTATCGTCTTCGGTTGGTGATGCTGTATTTTGTCTACCCAGGACTACTCGATGAACATCTATCTACGGCAGCGATGGGTGGACCCGAGGTTGAGCTTCAGCAACTATTCCAAAGCCAACATGATGGAGCTCGACGCCAAGATTATGTCTCAAGTCTGGGTACCCGATACCTTCTTCAGGTAGTCGATTTCCTCTATCATCATTATCATCAAGCTAATTCTCACCATCCTCATTATTATCATTACTCTTATCAACCATCATTATCTTACTTTTCATCCTCCTGATATTATCATTCTCACTTCATCGTCATCATCATCATCAGTACCTTCTCTTCATCGTCAGGGCCGAAAGGCGTAGATATTAGTCTAGCTGTAAACCACAAAACAGAGAGCCAACCATCTATTTTATATCCAACATAGTAGAACAAGGAGAAGAGAAAGAAAAAGAATATATATATATATATTCCACTATTGCATTCTGTAAGAATAACATCTCAGGGATGAGAATCAAACAGGTACCAATTCCTTGTAGCACAATGATATAGGGGCGCCACAAAACGGTGAGCAAATAACCTTTGGTGCAGTCTGGGTGTCTTCAGGCTTAGACCGTGAAAACCAAACAAGAGACACTCTAGGGACTGTAATTCGAGGGAATATTTTGTTTCAGGAATGAGAAAAAAGGAGAGTTCCACATCGTTACTGTGCCTAACAGATTGATGCACCTCTACAGGGATGGAACCATTTACTACAGCATGAGGTAAACAGGCTCAGTCTCTCGTCTACTGGCTACAGTAATTTCTTTCCTTTTTTAAATTTTATTTTTTTAATTAATTTTACAAATAACTGGTTAACACTGGACTCCTGACTCTTTCATAAGTGCTCAGTCTCTGTCAGCAGATACTGAATTAGATCAAAGAGGTGGCACACGTAATATAATCTCAGCGACGCAAGTGGCGCAAATAAACCTGACCACAAATATAACTAGAGACTGTTGGTAGCTTCGCTTCCAACAGCAGCAGGACGGAACGGAACGGAAGCGGATACTGAACATTAAAAAGTCAACAGGAAACGCTTACACCACAGAACAAACCTGATCAGCTCATGGAAACCTCTCATACAAAGTATACCTATTCCCACCCCAGCTGCCAGTGCCACACTAACAGCTGTGTAAGTAAAAACATTCACGTGATTAGCAATTTGTCACAAGGAGTTATGCAACAGTAAGGTCACACACACTTAAGGCATGCACATATGTGCTGTGTCTCCTTGAAGAATCCTAAGGGAAAGTAGCCTGAAGGTAAAGGCCACCTTTATACCTTCTGATGTGTACTGGGTATATGGTGCTATTTACATACTTGAGACTTTACATCAACTCGCACAGTGTGTGATGCCATCTATAGAAAGCTTGCTGTGTTTGCTTTCCATGAATTTTCCGGGCAGACATTTTAAGTCGTACCGATCCGGGAGATGTAGATTCAAATTCATGACAACTGTGATGTCAGTCATTCATGCAAGTCACCGCGCATTTGCGGTTTCTCGTGTCGCAAACGTGCATGCTCATATTTTCAGCGACCAGTAGATTGTGTACTCATCCATCACGTTTATGTGTGTGTGTGTTTGTTTGTTTATGTTTTACAACCTAGTGTGTGTCTGCGTTGTGTGTGTTGTTGTTGTTGTTGTTGCATGTATAGTTGAGAGTATGCTTTTAGCATCACCTTTTTTTTTTTTTTGCATTCACACTATGAATGTTGATTTGTGAACATAATATGCTTGATATGAAAATACTATTCTCGTATGAAAGATAAGTGTTTGAAAGGGGCGAATGTAAGACAGGCCTGCGTGCCCGATTTGGGAGTAAAGCTCCTTTCATTCGTTCGTTTTTTCTACTATGCATTATGATTGAAAATAATTTGAAGGGTCGACTATCAACGCTGATTTATTTTTTAGAAAGTTGTAACCATGACCTTTCAAGAGATTCCTACCATGTTTATCTATTTTGTCTCTTATTTTACACGACTGCTAAATTAGAATTCAAATTTTCTCGAAAACACGAAAGATGTTTGCTCATTCAATGCACGTGTGATTGCAGATTATCCATGCTGCTGTCGTGTCACATGAGGTTGCAGAAATACCCTCTGGACATCCAGTCTTGTCCGATCAAACTGGCCAGTTGTAAGTCCTAAAGCCTCTTTCTGTCAGGTCTATTTATGTGTTGAAAGTTTGAAGGTTTGTAGTTAATGTCGAGATTCGACTTTTTTGCTCTGGATTTTGTCGCACATGGCTTAGTATCTCTCAGTATGTATGATGTCTGTATGTATGTGTGTCTGTCTGTATGTATGTGTGTCTGTCTGTCTGTCTGTCTGTCTGTCTGTCTGTCTGTCTGTCTGTCTGTCTGTCTGTCTGTCTGGCTGTCTGTCTGTTTGTCTGTCTGTCTGTCTGTCTGTCTGTCTGTCTGTCTGTCTGTCTGTCTGTACGTACGTACGTATGTATGTATGTATGTATGTATGTGGGTGCCCCAGAGGTTTATGTATAATTCATGAGAGATTATTCTTTAGGTATTGAATGGTAGTCAAACATGGGTATTGACTGATAGTCACATATAGGTATTGATTGAAAGTCAAACATGGGTATTGATTGATAGCCACACATAGGTATTGATTGATAATCAAACATAGGTATTGATTGATAGTCAAACATGGGTATTGACTGATAGTCAAACATGGGTATTGATTGATAGTCACATATAGGTATTGATTGAAAGTCAAACATGGGTATTGATTGATAGCCACACATAGGTATTGATTGATAGTCAAACATAGGTATTGATTGATAGTCACACATAGGTATTGATTGATAGTCAAACATGGGTATTGATTGATAGTCACACATAAGTATTGATGGATAGTCACACATAGGTATTGATTGATAGTCAAACATAGGTATTGATTGATAGTCAATTATGGGTAATAACTGATAGTCACACATAGGTATTGATTGATAGTAAAACATGGGTATTGATTGAAAGTCACACATAGGTATTGATTGATAGCCAAACATGGGTATTGATTGATAGTTACATATGGGTATTCCCTGGTCAAACACTTAGGTAAATAAGCAGAGACTGGAGGAAACATTAAACAACACAAATATTGAAAGATATGTTAGCAACACTGAGATTTAAACCTTATTCCTTCAGACAAAGATCATGCCTGGGGTCATTCAGGCATATTGAAGAAGGAATAGGCAGATAGGCTGACCGGACAATCTCCAATTAGGGGTGTACTGTAACTGCTCAAAACAGAGGTGATCTCTCGACTGTGGGATGAGCTAACAAGTAAAATGTGAGACACGGAAAACCCGCATCTAGTGGGAACCATGCCGCGGGGAGTGTGTGCGGGCTGTCAGCGACACTGGAGACTCGGGCGGAAAGTTACGACCAGTAGATGACCACCTGACCACGGGTACTATTATTTTGAGACTCTTCGCTGGCTGTTGGAGGGGTTTAGGGGTTGGGAGACGGAACTAATACAGGTTCGTCCTGAATACTGTATTGTCCATTCTTTACCCAGAAGAACACAGAACCCAGTATGAATATACTGTCTCTCTGTGACGAATAATGTGGGGATCGAAAAGCTACAACAACCGTGATCCCAATCATGCTGAACTTACTTTTCGTGAGTGAACAATTCTGGACAGAATATAAACATCCAAAAAAAAAACATCAACACGGAGCTATGATGACGGTGTTGGGGATGATGTTGATGATAGTTTAAAAAACTTGTTAATTATTTAGTTAACGATGATGATGCCAATTATGATGTTTACTGTGATGATGAAAAAACATTGATCGTAATTATTAAGAGGATAATAATGATGGTGGTGGTGATGATGATGATGATGGTGATCTTGGTGGTGACGGTGATGATGTTTGTCAACTGCCCACAGACGGTTACACCACAGAAAACATCGTCTACCGATGGCTGGAGCGTAAACCTATCGACTTTGTGGAGAACTTGCAGCTGTCCCAGTACACGCTGGTCTCTCACACACTCTCCAACTGTACCAAGACATACAAGGAAAGTCAGTAACCAAAACAGTTATCATGTTCATAGAAACTTATTGTTAGATCAATACTTTTTTTTCTCTTCTCCTCCCCCTTCTATATCTCTCTGTCTCTCTTGCTCTCCCTCTCTTTCTCGTTCTAATGCAACGACATAGACAAAGATAGTGAAGAAACAGAACTATCGAAATATTAATTGACAAGGCAACATTCTGTAGCTCATGAAAATAAAAGCAAGTTAGCATACATTAGATCTGACGCAGGTCAAAGAATATGTAATCATAAGAGTCAGTCACTACTGCTAAATGAGTTTGCATCATGGAGAACCAATAAACATTGACTTATAACTGTACATGTCCACTTACTGGAGCCAGTGCAGAAGAATAAGAAGAATTAATTAGTATCTTCTTCCTTGTCTTCTTTGCGTTCACCAGTTGTAAACTCCCACCGAAAGTATTGGTCGTTCTTCCATTTCTTTTCTTTGGTCTTGTTCTTGAACTTTAGCCTTGCGTGCACATCCACTTTACAGATCTAGGCTTATTTTGTGCAGACCGCTGGTTCCTCACCTCTCAGGCAGACACCGACTTTAAGGAAACTCCCCCAATGGGTCGCAGTATACGACATGCTTGTTAGAGAGATACTGGGTCTATTCCCCCCTCCGTCCCCCAAATGGGGCTGAGGAACCCACACTGAAAAAATTGTATGTAAGACAAGACTTCAATTATATTTTTTCCCTTTCGCAATCTCGAAATCAGATCCCAGATCCATTAAATATACTTGATGAGACATCGCAACAAATCAGTCCTAATATTCATCGGTAAAAACACAGGTAGTGGGAAAAGAAACACAAACAGGCAAACAATAGACCCGTCTTCCTTAGAGGAAACTCCTGGTCATGATCTGGAGGTCAAGAATGAACCATTTTCCAATCCTTGAGGCATATTGGGCATTTCATGCTAGACCCATATTGTATAGACCAACCGACACCGGGTGTCTGATGTAGTCAACATAACGGCAGATGCCTTTTATTTCCTAGAAGGGTGATGTAGTCAACATAACGACAGATGCCTTTATTTCCGAGAAGACTGATGTAGTCAACATAACGACAGATGCCTTTTATTTCCGAAAAGAGTGATGAGGTCAACATAACGACAGATGCTTTTTATTTCCTAGAAGAGTGATGTAGTCAACATAACGGCAGATTCCTTTATTTCCTTGAAGGCTGATGTAGTCACCATAACGGCAGATAACTTTATTTCCTAGAAGACTGATGTAGTCACCATAACGGCAGATGCCTTTATTTCCTAGAAGAGTGATGTAGTCAACATAGCGACAGATGCCTTTATTTCCTAGAAGGCTGATGTAGTCAACATAACGACAGATGCCTTTATTTATTAGAAGAGTGATATAGTCAACATAACGACAGATGCCTTTTTTTCCTAGAAGACTGATGTAGTCAACATAACGACAGATGCCTTTTATTTCCTAGAAGACTGATGTAGTCAACATAACGACAGACGCCTTTTATTTCCTAGAAGGGGGTTGTAGTCAACATAACGACAGATGCCTTTTACTTCCTAGAAGGAGGTTGTAGTCAACATAACGACAGATGCCTTTATTTCCTAGAAGGGGGTTGTAGTCAACATAACGACAGATGCCTTTTACTTCCTAGAAGGAGGTTGTAGTCAACATAACGGCAGATGCCTTTATTTCCTAGAAGGGGGTTGTAGTCAACATAACGACAGATGCCTTTATTTCCTAGAAGGGGGTTGTAGTCAACATAACGGCAGATGCCTTTTATTTCCTAGAAGGCTGATGTAGTCAACATAAAGGCAGATGCCTTTTATTTCCTAGAAGGCTTATGTAGTCAACATAACGGCAGATGCCTTTATTTCCTAGAAGGGTGATGTAGTCAACATAACGACAGATGCCTTTTATTTCCTAGAAGGGGGTTGTAGTCAACATAAGGGCAGATGCCTTTTATTTCCTAGAAGGGGGTTGTAGTCATCATAACGACAGATTCCTTTATTTCCTAGAAGGGTGATGTAGTCAACATAACGGCAGATGCCTTTTATTTCCTAGAAGGGGGTTGTAGTCAACATAACGACAGATTCCTTTATTTCCTAGAAGGGTGATGTAGTCAACATAACGACAGATGCCTTTATTTCCTAGAAGGGTGATGTAGTCAACATAACGGCAGATGCCTTTTATTTCCTGGAAGAGGGTTGTAGTCAACATAACGGCAGATGCCTTTTATTTCCTAGAAGGCTGTTGTAGTCAACATAAAGGCAGATGCCTTTTATTTCCTAGAAGGCTGATGTAGTCAACATAACAGCAGATGCCTTTATTTCCTAGAAGGGTGATGTAGTCAACATAACGACAGATGCCTTTTATTTCCTAGAAGGGGGTTGTAGTCAACATAACGGCAGATGCCTTTTATTTCCTAGAAGACTGATGTAGTCAACATAACGACAGACGCCTTTTATTTCCTAGAAGCGTGATATAGTCAACATAACGACAGATGCCTTTTATTTCCTAGAAGACTGATGTAGTCAACATAACGGCAGATGCCTTTATTTCCTAGAAGACTGATGTAGTCAAAATAACGACAGATGCCTTTATTTATTAGAAGAGTGATATAGTCAACATAACGACAGATGCCTTTATTTATTAGAAGAGTGATATAGTCAACATAACGACAGATGCCTTTATTTATTAGAAGAGTGATATAGTCAACATAACGACAGATGCCTTTATTTATTAGAAGAGTGATATAGTCAACATAACGACAGATGCCTTTATTTCCTAGAAGGCTGATGTAGTCAACATAACGGCAGATGCCTTTATTTCCTAGAAGGGTGATATAGTCAACATAGCGGCAGATGCCTTTATTTCCTAAAAGTGTGATGTAGTCAACATAACAGCAGATGCCTTTATTTCCTAGAAGGGGGTTGTAGACAATGTAACGGCAGATGCCTTTATTTCCTAGAAGGGGGTTGTAGTCAACATAACGGCAGATGCCTTTATTTCCTAGATGGGTGATGTAGTCAACATAGCGTCAGATGCCTTTATTTCCTAGAAGGGTGATGTAGTCAACATAACGGCAGATGCC